CCACAGGCCCTCCCCAGCCCTCCCCTCCCCTGCCCCCAGGCTGCTGCTGAATTGGAGTTCCCCTCCGACACTCAACACTCAGTCTTCACAAATGCCCTTTCCTACTCAGACTTGCCCTTCGGTTACACGCAGAGAGCACTTATTGGACACCTACCGTATACACTGTCCCACCTCCCTCCTCCTCAGCTGGGCCCTGCTCTCCGTTCCATCAGGTCCCGGGACTGAGACAGCTCGCCCCGCACCCTAACCCCATGTCTGTGACCCCCAGGGACTCCGTGCCGCCGACAACGACCCCACAGCGCCCCCCTACGACTCCCTGCTGGTCTTCGACTATGAAGGCAGCGGCTCCACCGCGGGCTCCGTCAGCTCCCTGAACTCGTCCAGCTCCGGGGACCAAGACTACGATTACCTCAACGACTGGGGGCCCAGATTCAAGAAGCTGGCGGACATGTATGGAGGCGGCGAAGAGGATTAACGGACCTCACATCCTCGGACCGAAGTGAGAGCCGCACGCGGACGCCGGAGGAGCAGGACTGAGCAGAGGCGCCGGTCTCCGACTCTCCCTGCGCGTGTCCTTAGTGCTGTTAGAAGGCCCCCACCCCCACGCTGAGCTGTCTAGCATGAGCACCCACCCCCGCGGCGCCCTGCACGCGGCTGCTGCCCAGCACCGCGGCCGGCTGGCACTGAGGAGAGCAAGAGGCACTGTCTTCACTTGAATTTCCTAGAACAGAAGCACTGTTAAAAAAAAAATGAAAGTGCCTTTTGGTACACGTATCAGATTCCCTCAAACTCAGGAGTGACTAAAGCAAAGCAGACAGCCCATCCCCACCTTCCCGTCCCCAGCGGCCTCCGACCCCAGCTAGTCCCAGCTCGGGAGGCATCATTCAGAAATGGGGAGACTGTGTCTTTCTTTTATTTTGGTCTTTTATTAAGAAAAAGTAAGTGGGTGACTTGTTTGAAAACAGAGTGGGGTTCAAATCCCAGCAGCCTTTGCTGTACATAGCTGGGGGTCTCTTGGGCCCTTTGGGAGTCAAGGCCAGCAGCAGAAAGCCCTGGGCGGCCAAGCCCTGGGGCCTGTGTGGCTGCTCCCCGCCCTCCGGAATGCTGTGAGGAGCTCCAGCGGGTGGGGTTCCCAGGGGTCATCCTGGGTGTTCCCCATCTCTGCCCTTGGCTGCCCCCAGGGCTCCACCCCCAGTCAACCCAGGCCTCCCTCAGGGCCACCCGAGTGCCACCAGGTCCCCTCTGCTTTTGATCCAGAAGAGGAGTTGTCCAAACCAGCCAGCATCCTGCAGAACTCTGGCCAGAGCCCTCTGGCTCTTGTGACCAGACCACATGGGGTGCCATCAAAGGCCCCTTGACACGAATCAATTCAAACCCCAGGATGCTCTCGACAGCTCCAGCCACCCTGGGGGCTGTGTAGACGGCAGGGACGGAGGACCCTCCCTGGCACCTGGAGAGGGCAGTCACAGGTGGGCATGGTGACCAGAACCACACCCAGCAGACTAAGGCAGCCTCCCCGTCCCCAGCCCGTGTGCTCCCGATTCCCGCCAGACGCTGGTGAGCCTGTGTGGGTGGCAGGATACCCCGTCTTGCTGTGCCCACCTGCCCCACAGACACCCCTGCCTGCCGCAGACAGTGCCCCTCCTCCGCTATGGGCCCACGTCGGGGGCAAGCAGTCCTCAGGGCTGGCACTGCTGTTTTCAGGGTGGGGTGGACTCAAGCCACACAGGGGGGCAGGTCGGTTCTGCAGGGCAGTGAAAGGGGCTGTGTCCCAGGACCCCTGGAGAGCCCTAGGTCACCTGTGTTCATCACAGCATGAGCAAGCTCGCAGGCGCATTCTCTCTCCCGGCATGGCTATTTCTGGGTGCACAGGCGCCTCGGGCTGGGGCAGGGCCAGGCCCAGGTGGGGAAGCCTTGCGCTTGCTCAGCTTTCTGTCTCTCCCCAGGCCACTGACAACTGGCTTCCCGAGGAGGGAGATGAGGTACCAGGGGCCCTGGGCAGGACCTGGTGTTGGGTAAGGTGGTCCCAGTGCTGGGGAAGGACAGGCAGCCCTCTGGGAGCCCTGCCCCACACCTGCTGCTGGGGTCAGGGAATGCCTCGGGGTGCCTGTGGGAGCAGCATGAGCTCCACTGGAGCCCCGCCCTTCCTCAGCCTCTGGCCCTACCCCACGGTTAAGGCCATGCCTTTTCTGAACAGCTTTGGCCTTGAGTGCGCACGTCTGTGCCATGCTCACAGCATGTTCCCATTGGACGTCAGGGTCCTTGCCCAAACCAAACTCACAGCCACCCCTGTGCAGCCTCCAGAGTTGAGTTGGGGTCCCAGTCTCCGGGATCTGTCCGCTCTCACCCTCCCATGGCTGCCTAGAGAGGGCGGGGTTCACGGTGCCACGTGCTAGGGGCCCCCTCTGCAGACAGCCCATCCAGGAGATGGACAGAGGTCAAGGGCCAGCTGACCGGACTGCACTGGGGTCCCCCAGTTCTGAGCTGTGCTATGCAAAGAATGCCCCTGAGTGTCTGCCGCACGGCGTGGGAGGGACAGCTACTGGGGCTGGTGGAGGGACTGGACATCTCTGTTGCTTGGGGAAGTCCATCCTCCAGTCCCAAGGGTGTGAGTGGATTGGTCTAAGTGTGAATGTAACTGGCAGCCAGGGCAGCATGAACCCCTTTCGCTGAAACTTCCAGGCCTCCTTGGGTTCCCTGAACCCTGGGCTGGCGTTCCCAGGACCCAGCACCAGGAGACCCTAGTCCCACCAGCGCCGCCGCACTACCCAGGACGGCTGGGTGATGCCGGTGCCAGCCCCTCCCCTCCCTGCAGCCTCGCATCACTGCCAAGCCCCCGTTCATTTTGCCCGAATCACACAGGCTGAAGCTGCAGTACCAGCTGGAGGGACATCTGTGGGGCTTCCCGTGCCATCCCTGTCTCCAGACAGCTGGACAGCTTCCCCTTTACCCCACCCCAGTGAGCCCCTGCGGGCCAGAGAAAGATGGGGTTCCCGCACTTCCCGGCTCCACCTGTGAACCTGAGTTAGCGTTAGCTAAGCAAACGATCAGTGTTGAACCTCTCTCTTCCTTAGCTTGTAGATACGACCGTCTGTAATCAGGGGACCCGCTGGAGGCCGGGCGGCCGATGCTGGCCGAGCACCCGGGCGTGGTTTGGTTCCTTTAGGCAATTTTTGTTCTGCCAACAGGAGAACCTGTGCTGCTGGGTGTAGTGGCAGGAGCGCCTGGCCTTGGTCGTCGGGCAGCCCCAGCCCGGGGCCACGTGCTCTTCAGGGCCTGGGCAGCCCCCACTTCTGGCCCAGCAGGTTTCTCTTTCTAGTCTTTCAGCGCATCCAAAATGGACGCCTCCCACCACCGCCGAGTCGGAGCAACAGCCAACAACGGTCCGGCGCTCAGAGATGCCTCGGTTTCCCTAACATGAGCACCAGCCGACACATGGTCCACTGAGATTATGATTCTGTTCTCTCCAAAGCAAAAAGCCAGGTGAGGGGAAGTCTCAATTTCTGCCAGTGCTCAAAGGAATAACACCAAAAGAATCAACACACAATCTCCCGGACACAGAGCAGCACGTGACCCAGCTCCAGGCGCCATCGGTCCGTGGGAGGGACAGCTCCGCGCCACAGACCCAGCGGGGGACCGCCTCTCTGTACAATTGGAACGTGTTTTACTTTTCTTTTCTCTCCTTTCTTCATTCTGCTTTTTCTTTTTTTTTT